GGGGGTAGGAGGAGGAGGGGGGGCATCCTGTGTCTTATAGCGACAATGTTGCATGATTTTGCGTCGTCCTGTGTCGACTAATGACAATGTTGTATGAGGGTGTGTCGTCACATGCTTCATTAGGTTTGGTGTAAGGTTATTCTACCGTCTATATTTATTGGTTTTCTCATCTTTCGAAACTTGTTCTATTATTTATATCTTACTTTTTTGAAAGTCATCAGATAGGCATTTGTCTATGTTCTATTTTCACCTTCTATTTTCTCTTCATTGTAAAAGCTGTCTCACCTTTGCAAAAACCTATCGTGCAGGTTTGCTCTTTAGACAATATTTCATCTACTTTTCCAGGCTTTCGTCTTCTTCTTCAGAGGCGGTCGTTTATGTTTTGTTTTTGTTTTTGTAGATTAACTGCCAAACCGGTTTTTCATTGTCTTGTTATGGTATTATATTTCTGCTATCTCAGATTGTTTGTATAGGTACGATTTTGTCCCTAGACATGATGAATATGTTTGCTCTCTTATGTTGTTTTTCTTTATTTCATTTTACTTGAAAATCAATTCATTTTTTATGTTGTGTACCTACCTTGTCGAGTTTGGCAAAGTTGCTTGAGGTCACCATGTTATCGTTCCTGGTAAGTTCCGGGGACACAGTATAGCCTGTCTCCTTCAGGTTAGAAAGACACACAATGTCGCTATCTGTCAGCTTCCTTATGCGAGCGCGGCTTGACCCGGGAGGCAGGGGACCATCACACGCCCTGTTTTTTAAAAGACGATATATCAACATACTGTGACTCATCGTAAACGCACCGTTCGCTTGTATTTATCATATAATTCCACACGGCGGTGGCAACTTGATAAATCTCGTCATCGCTCTGTCCAGGAAATACAAACTGGCTGATATGTCAACCACATGAGGCTGTTAACAGGGGGAAAGATTCAAATCCTACTTCTACAAAAGTTTGAGGGCTTCTTGTTTGTTAACATATCCTGACGTCATCATCTTTGGTTCCAGGTACATGCACATACATTTGTAAATTCAAACCGTTAATTTAATTAATATATAAAAACGCCACTATATCGTCATAAAATACTAATAATTCAAGAATTTACGTTATGTTCTGTTCTGATCTAAGCATTCACACATGAAAATGAAAAACAATAGCCCCTCTGTGCTTACTTGCTTACAAACTGTTCGATAACGTTTGATCTCTATGTTTCGTCCAGTACGCTCTCACTTAAAGTAACAAATGAATGTCAAATACACTGCTGCCAAATATCAAATATCCGTGCCGACAGTTCAATGGCGTGGTCTACACAATTAGGCACTATTTGACCAGAACAAGCTAAACACGACCAAAGTATACACGGATATTGTCCATTCCACACCAATTGATATAGTACTTTTTACTGCTACCGTAACTCAGTATACATACCACTCACTTGTAAACCTTCAATCTTTTGTTATAAACCGATGTGCTAAGTAAAACCGTGTTGGTTCAAGTAGGTATCGATACACAGCTCCAACAATGTGTTCAGGATAGATTAATTGCCATTTTGATACATTTCCCCCGGTTAAACACTCAGTCGACCCAGAATCGATCACATCCAACACTAATATTAGATACTTACCATACATACATTTATATATCTGATATGCATACGTTCCCTATACATAGGATACAAATACAAGGGACGAATATCCCATGTCTACGCTCTAATCAGACTCACGGTCTCACATGAAGATTAAAAAAAATAATCCTTAACTAAAATATATAAAATGTCCCTGTTAGAGGAACAGTTGAGGTTTTGCTTCACTAACGTAAATGTTATTTCTTTTACTTATTCATGGGAAAACAAAATAGAAATATAGCCCACAAATCTCGTTCTGCATTCAGATGGTAATATGAAAATTTAATTGGATGGCCTATCAGGTCCTACGGTTTATGTAAAGAGTATTACTTATACATTAACGATAGCGTTAGTGCTATAGGTGATCTCGAACAGTATCTTGGATCAGTGAGAAGGACGATTTAAGTGTCGTTCCAGGCTATACTTTACACTTAAAATGTGTTTGTATTAATATTTTAATACCTTCAACATTTCACGAGGTATCAAAGAAAAGCAAAGGGCCTTCAGTTGTGAACTCGACTGGCAATCATCGATCTAATTAGACATTTAAATTATTCCGCAAAAAAAAGTTTAAGTTAAACATTCTTGTTTTAATAGACATAAAAGATAAACCAGTAGAAGCTATTTTGATTTAGGTGATCGTTGGCCACGTTAAATAAGGGTATTACATGGTTATTCAAGTTGAGTCGAGACCTTCTTGCTAAAATAGAGATGTAATGATAAAGAAAGGAATTATGTTTATAGTGATTGAATATTATGTCAAGCATCTGTTAAATACAGACCGTTTGTTCATGCTTATCTCAACATTGTTAGTTTTCAAAGTTTCAATATGACGTTATTAAAACTTGTTTTCTTTTAAGAACTGAAAATTAAACAACGAATGCCGGATAAACAATTTGAAAATAATCAAACGGTCAAGAGATGTCAAATATCTTCCACAATATGAATGTCATTGTCGAGCAGCCAACCTCTCTCTACACTCTGACGCTGTCAAGAAACAGATTCTCTCTTTCACAATTTGCATGACAGTTTCGAAAAACCGACATCTTTGTACCATAATTTACACGGTATTTTCTGACGATGATATCATTGTTTTACAAACGATGTGATTTCATCACATCTCAAATCATATGTAGAACTACATTGCGGATTATGTCCAAAAGGGAGGTCCACGAAGTCGAAGAATGCGAAATTTCAAACGGCTGTTTTAACTAAGATTTTTCCAAAGAGACACAAATCAACACTTAATTAACCGGTTGAAATACTATATATCATTTAGTGGAAGGTATGAGAGTTCATGACGTGAGACAATAATGGCAAAATAACGTGCATTCGGGAACGTTTAACAAACAGCAAAGTAGCAGGTATTTTGTTACTTATTCTTCAAAATAATCAAAAGGAATAAGTACCTGCGCATTGACAGTGTGAATAGTGTTATTCACCATCAACACACCCAGTCATTATATTTATAATTATCAATCCATTCAATGCGTTGTATGATGTAAGATGCAATTGAGCGAGGATGGTACTGCATAAAGTTTAAAAACTATTGGAGGGATAGGCCATTATGAGTCAAGCTGAGGGTTTGCATAAAGTTATGTAATCCCTCGATAGAGAAACTCGGTAAGGTTAAAGGTACATAAAAAAACGTACAAAAAAATGTAACGTACATACGTAAAGTTATATAGGTGTTATTGCTGGACAAGCTCATATTACAAATAGCATGCCTTAAAAACTTTCTAAAAATGATTGAATAATTTCCTAATTTTCTTTCATTTTAATCAAATGCATCAAGACTGAGCAGAATTTGACCATCATATCAGGATTTATCACCAGGAGTGAACGTAGAGTAGGGGATACTGTTAGATATACGCTTTGTCTATAGCTTATAAAGAGATAGATATTTTGTTGACCTTACATTGAAGCTACGCACATTAAAGAGACTTTTTTGTCTACGCGTCCGACGCTATGTATTAGCATTGTGGTCTGGTCCAATATTTGTATATTTCTATATTCTCCACATCAAACGAAGAAGGCTCTCACCTTTGTTTTAGTTTCCCTATGTTAAAGTCATAACGATATTTTTAGTCATAACCTGTAACAATGGAGACAGATATTGGATAATATCAAAAAGATATATCAATGTGGTAAAGATGAGAGGTTAGTTTACTAGCGTCTCTTTGGTAACGTGGGAGATAAAATAATGTACTATTTTATCAGATATTATACTCAATATGATATTTTAGGTGATTTCCTACTATTTATTAATTTAGCAGATGGGACACTAAACAGACTGAAACACTATTTGTACCATAAAAACAGTGTGAGTGTCATTTACATTCCGCAAAAAATACTCGGAGACGCATTTTTAACTACAGTTATACCAGTGTCAGCAACATCATAATAATATTTCTATTTCGTTTGGAATTACTTCATATACATCGCTGAAGTTCTGAATGAGAGATTTCATAATTGGAAAAGTTTCCTTACATTTAAACATCACTTTAAATTCACGAAGCTCTTCTAAATCGCACCTACAGACACAAATACATATCATTTCTACTTTTTACACATGGAATTCCCTGGTTTTAACCTCGAGGTCCACTGATGAGTTCTATAGGGACAAAATGGACACGAAATGTAGTAAAAAGTTCTTCGCATCTTAAATGATTTTTCTACAAAAATATGTCATAACAACAGACATTTGCCATACCTATAGAGGATATGTCCAATACCTACAGACAAATGCCATATCTACATTATATACATACATAGGCGATAGGCCTAGCCAACGCAAAAGAACCAATAAAAATACATGCTTTGCTTTATATATAGATATTTATAAATTCAACGGTACCGACCGCTAAACATTTTGCGCTTAATGGTCAAGACATGTTATGGTTAAAATACAAACCCTTCTGTTTCGTCCCCCGAGCACCAGAAATCCTTGTATGCAGTGGTCAGTAAGTTCCGGTCAAGGATGTGTTCTGACATATACATGGATCCCATGTCGTCCCATTAACAACGCAAACAATCCAGAGGAAAAGATCGACCAGTGACTTAATGTTCTTTAACTGGACATCTTGTCAAGCAGATCAAATTCAAACACGATATTCACAATAGTATAAATACATACTTCATAACGGTATGTCAATAAAAGTCGTTCGATCTCTAATACATACAGTCCGCACCTTGTTTGTCTGTCTTCGCTGGTGCCATTACAAAACACAGGTTATGGAGTTCCAAAATATTTCGTAATATTACTCCTTACTTTGTAGTATTCTGTACTTTTTCTGCTGTTGCACAACTTGAAAAAATGTTTTACACTCTTAAAACACTCCTCCTTCTCGAACTAAACATGCATACGTGTTTAGGGTAAAACTCTTCAATTGTTTATAATACTCTCTGAAGCAGACTATTTGGCCAATCCTGTGTCATCTGCATATCTCAATATCTGTATGCGTACTAAGGGCTTGAAATAGTTTAAATCTACAAAAATTGTACTTGCCAACAAGTGTTTGATAAGTTGGTAAATACTTTAGCTAAGTAAAGTACCCTGTTCTCGCGTAGTGTATTGATTGGAGATAAGAAGGACATGTAAGCTCCTCATTGTTCGCCATCAGATGTGGTACATATACATAACGCTCTATAGTGGAGGCGTATTGGCTCTCTACAACATTCTCTTGTGCAAACACGAGCGACGATAGCTCGGGAAACATAAAACAAGGGCTCAAGTGGATTGGCTGAAAAACTTCCCTATGACAGCAATGTTGCATTATTTGCAGTAATTTTGATAAATTGGTATCGATTTCTAGGGCGAGATCATACTGAAGTGATTTTATCTTTTAATTAAGCCGTATCTGCAGACTCTGTGCACACATCCTTCCTGTTGTCACCTCAGTCTGTATCGATCCTCGTCCCCATGCGTCCTGTAATTGACTTTCACCCGGTGAGCTAGCCAACCTTGCACCCAGACTCCTTGACATGCCGGAGTGCGCACCCAGCTTTATCACCATAAGATGTTAACATTGACGATATCATTTAAATCCCAGAGATCACCTCACTTTCTGGAACAAATCTTCGGCTTTTTGCTTTAAGTCTTAGTTATCCGCTTGATATGTTGGGATTCCGTTTATTGATCCCGATTGGTTGATAACGGTTTTGATACGATATGTTTTCCGGGTTTCTGAGGAATCCTCACGACCGGCAGATTTACGGTGATATTTGAGATGGTGTTGTATCAGCATTTCTGACAGAATTCTGTTCAATACAGAATTAAATTATCGCTGGAAATGTCAAAATGGTGTCAATTATTTCCACGAAGAATTCATCTAATAATCATGCAGTATCCATGATTTCCTTTGATACAAAGAGTACTGCCGAAACCTTTTCCCTACAGTCTATCGAGGTGTAACACTATATAAACACAAAACCACACAAACAAGGTCTGTGTTCCAGTAGCCTCCAGCCTGGACAATAGTTTGGCTAACCAACCACGGATAATTTATTACAGTTTTTCTGCCATGTCGTTTCAATCAAATATCCAACGAAGATAAAAGTGTTAAAACACACGCCACAATCGAAATTTGGCATTATCAAACAAAGGTAGCATATGGTTGAAAATCCATGGCGTTGTACTGCTGTTATACACATAGTAAATATGACTTATTTTGAACCAGGGCTTTGTGTTCCTAGTCACATTCCAGTACTCCCTCCTTATTGTACGTCCACAATATGTAACCGGAACAAAGGTTAACTAAAAAGTGCCAGATCTTTGTCTAAACTGTAAGCCATCACCTGGTAATTATCCTCGTAACAATTAACAAATTGACATAATGTCCTCAATTGCTCCATAAGAATCCTTTGATGCTCTAAATCCATAAGTAAATTTATCCGTAATTTCGGAGAGCAAACGTTCCTAATGGCGTTTTAACAGCCAATATAACAGCATGCTTGTGGTCAATGCCGTTGATTATTCAAAATAATGGTCGCACGTGTCGTTACTTATATTTTGGGTCACATGACCACAATATTTCGATAAACTTTACGTCATGGTGAGTGCTCCTTCAATTCAAATCAGATCTGCACAGCTGACAAAAATGCTCTGTGTCTTATTTTAAAACTTATCAAATACCAATCGTAGAAATATTAAGATAAAATATAACTGTATATGTATAAGCCATAACAAAAACCATTAGGCAATGCCTCCGGCGACCGAACGCGACAGACTGTTCCAGATAAATACACCTATAGTCAGCACACCGATTACAAGAGTACAACAAACTATTCATTATTTTTATTTTGAAAACAAGATGATTTATTTTGTTAGGAAAGTGATTAGGAATATCACAGTGTTAGGCAATGACAGGAAATGAAATCCGGTTTGTTTCCCTTTAATGATCAGGACTACGACCTCCATGTTTGTGGTTCACGTAATAACCCAGCCAATCCGATAATTGCCTGAGTCATACGAATGTTTAAGATAAATAACAAAAGCTCTTCCATTCACGTATATTGATCTTGCACTGATCAAAAATAGCGTTCCTCATACGAGGTGACCTCGATTAACCTATCCGAACCCCTAAAAATATGTACAATAATTATTTCAGTAAAGGAATCATCAGAAATATTGAAGCCCTCTTCATGTGCGTCTGAAATGTTGGTAAGAATTTTAAAGACTAACCATAGTTCAGTAAACAGTTGTTGGTTGAGCTTCGAATTCGCATACATAAATTTTATATGATAGTTTTATAACAGATTAGTTGTTAAGTCTAACATTGTCGACGACAGGTACAATAATTGGTATACCATATGACATTAGGACAGGGTGGAACATGAGAAAAACAATCAAAATAACATACAATAATATCCACTTAAAGGACTGACTTGGTGGGAAAAGGTGAGGATATTTTCATGTAGCGTTTGTCGTGGTATCCAGAGAGATTAACAACTATCTCCGACGTTTTAAGTATATTTTCTTTTCCTTTGCCCGGCTTTAAAAAATTGAATCTTGATGACCATAATGAAAATTCTGAAGCGTAGATTTGAGCATCTTTAATAGACAATCCTTGATACATTTGTTTGTCATCCGGGCGTAATCAAAACAGACCATCTGCATACTTAAAACAATCTATGAAAAAGTGACTCAACAGTTATTTATCTATGAACAAGGTAGACTGATATGTAACTAAAGATAAAAGGAAATGAAAGTAATCATTGTTGTAATAGAGTTTGGTTGTGAAATATATAGAGCTGTAAGTGATTATAAGATGTAAAGTTGGCAGGACTCAGCTGTTCTCCTTTGTTCAGCAACAGACACAGCTGTCTGTGTGTCATAAATACATTGCATAAACAAGGATGTATGTAGTGGTACAATGCATCAAATTTACATAACTATGTAAAACAGCACAACAGTGACAATACAAACGTGGATGCAGATTTAACGACATCAGGGCGGACGTACGAACATATCGCAGCCTCCCAAAATACACACACATACACTACACGCATGCATCTTGCACACAGGGGAGGCCGTCCTTAAATGACCTTAGCTGTTAATAGGACGTTAAACAAAATCAAACAAACAAACAAACAAACTCCTGATTAAACTTCTTGTTCCCCATCTCCTTCGCTTTAAGTAGTCTGTTAAAATATCATTGATGTTCGCAATTCGTAAAAATTAAGGAACAAATGATCAAGGTAGGCCTAAGGTAAATCTGTGTCTGTGCTTTTCTTATGTAGCGATGTAGCGATTCTCTTTATGATTGTTCTCGTGCTCGGAATTTTGTATTTATGTCATTCTGGAATGGAGAAAGATTTAATACGCACAAGTAAATTGTAAATATAATAACAAGACATCGACGAGACATCCATATCTTCCACAAATAGACTCGTCACAACAATCGTATCTGACAAATAGACTCGTATCAACAGTGGCATCTGACAAAATCGATATAGGAACGAAAAATTAATATATATGTGGTTTAAGGTGATAGCTCGAAGACAAATTACTTAGCAACTTTCCTCTGTCGCTACCACGTGACCTGACGCAGTGCATTATGGGCACTTACCTAAAATTATCCGGCATGGTGAACAAGAAGACAGGTTGTTGGTCAAACAGAGTTCTATTGACACCCGTAACAACTAATGCAATAAAATCCACTTGGTTTGACTCACATAATTATACAGACTTGCCAAGAGTGAACAAAGGCGACAACCATCTGGGTCACGAAAATACACTATTGTCAGGATCAAAACAAATTATATCACAGTGTTTGTCTGTTCTCAATATCCTGTCTGTTATTGCGACTGACTAGTTAGTACTGTATACCACTAGCGATAAACCCAGTCATGTAGTCTAGGACCTAAACATCCCTTTAAATTTCGGTGTTTCCTTATACCAGGAATACTTTGGCTCGGAATTTTGGGCTTTATTTTGTTTCTTACTTACTTCAAACATTTATATAATTAAATTTACTGTATACAAATAAATGAAACATGGTAAGCGCATATACTTCAATAGTATCAATGACAACAGTAAGGCTCATTGTGTTATTGTTTTACATTAGCATGATTATCAATGAGCGTAATTATATAAATGTGTTTAACTGCAGTATCGCATATACTTGTATATTGACATTTAGGATATATTCTAGTGTAATTACAGCAAAACGAATATATAAACATGTATATTACAGTAAGCGTATATACTTGTATGCTAACATTTAGCGTATATACTAGTATAACTAATGTAAGCATATGTACAATTACAGCAAGCATGTTTTCTACTTGTTCTTTAAGTAGCTTGCGATAATTGTCAAAACAAATTATACCTTACAAACGAGACCAATTAAAATTCCTTTAGTTTAGATTATCATTTTCATATAGAAAATCGATGAGATGTGAATACCTCAGCGCTTGTGAAATTGTAATTTTCCGCTTTCGGTATTCGCATCAATTAAAAGTCATTTTCAATATAACTACACGGGTTCGTCGTTTTATACTGTGAAGCTATTAAAAATATACAACACACGAAACACTGTTAATAAATCGTAGGCATCCTTAGTTTGTAATAATTTCATTTCTAAGATAAGACACCGATCATAATTTTACAAATCACATCCTACAACAGATTGTATAGACAAACAACATAGAAACGACAAAATACCGTACCTGTTTACGGTCGCCATTACCACCATTCCACCTTTTCAATCTTATCTAAATTTACATCGTGAACACGGGTAATATCATACTGTGTAAATTAATTTATCAATCATGTGATTGATTACACCTGTTAAATCACAGGTAAAAATGGAATTTCGTTGACGCGAATACTGATATGGCATTCCGTAGAGTAAATTTAGTCGTCAGTCATTTGTACAGATTTATAACCGAGCTTAACAGACCTAGCGAGATCACCCAAACATACGTGTGTTAACTGCCTGGCGTTTTAATCGAATATCGAATCCTGACATCCCGGAGACGGGGGCTGTACTGAATCTTGTTATTGATGTAAACAACTTGAAAGAAAGTTCTCCGGAAACACATGGTGTAATTGACTACCTTTAATAGATGGTAGATACAGTTCAAACACTGCTGATGACTGATGACAGAATACAGTGTGAAATGTCTTTGATATAAGGAAGCAACATTTGAATA